ATGCTAAGCCTCTGAGTATTCTCTGGTGTCCTCTGAATGATTAGACTGGATTCACATAGTGCAGGAAATTCTCATAGGGTAGACGCATAAATGGGAAGAGTTGTTGCTTTATTTGACATGTTGGGGGAAACCAAGCAACACCAGTTCCCACCACAGAGTGTCCAGGCTATTAGGTTAAGATGAACAGGTCCCCAGCAGGTCTGTGGGCTGAACATGAGACTGACCGTGAGAATCTCTGAGAGTATTACTCACTGCATACTTTTCTGCCCCCTCTTTTTTCGCCTTGTGGCCCAGCCCACCCCAACATCCATCTGTCTCATACAGCAAATGTGCTAATTAGGTCATCAGCTTCCATCACTGGGTGGAGATGCTTTACAGGATGGATGTCTGGTTGTGACACTCTCCCTGTCAACTGCTGTCTCAGGAACTCATCTATATTCCTCCATTTTGCCCAGCACTGACGCCAAGAGAGGATCAGTTATCAGAGGAGGTAGCGGTGCCCCTTCCCTAAGCACCTGTAAGGGATGCATGTGGTTACCTGTCAAACCTCTACCTTTATTAGTGTCTTGGGGAAAGCTTTTCTTTGAACCTTGGAAAGGATTCAAAAAAACTGAGGCATAGCATTTTAAATCCGGAATAGGCCTGACTTACTCATGTTACAGAGAAAAAAAGAGATCCCTTAAGGTGAAGTGAAGTACTAAATGTGACAAAAAGCATCAAAAAATCAGATCAATTTTCTCACTGATCAAATAAGAGAATACTACATGTAAAGTGACTAATACAATACACAGCACCCAGTAAGTCCTTAGCAAATAAAGGGAAATTCTTTCTGTTTTTTTTTTCTTTCTAGTTTCAATAATAAATAGATTTGAGTCATTTTTCTCATTATATTTAATAATACTGGCTATACATGTATAATATGTGTATAAGATACAAGAATGTAGATATCTATGACTATATTATTTTCATTGACTTTGGGAAAATATGAAGTCTGTATGTAAGTATTAACGTTGCTAGAAATATTTGCAAAGACATTTTTCTGGAAGAGAAAACATCACAAAAACTATCCTACCTTGGGAGGGGAATTAATATTTTCCTCATAGAATTTTCTACTCCATGAACATTGTCGGAAAGCAAGGTCCTGCTAGATGCCAGATAGAAGAACTTCAGCCTGCTTCTCCCGGTTTCCGAGGGCTTTGTTCAATGTTCCAGACTTGTCATTTGTTCTAAATGACACTTATAAAGTCTCCAGTGTATACTGTAGATGGGCCAAGAGTCAGACAATCTGAATTATTTTACACAAGGAACGGTGCATTAAGATTTTAGTTTTTTAAAGTGGCTAAAATAGAACTTTTCGTTAACTTTAAAATGTCCTGAAACTGAAAATTATGAAGGCCACATTCCTGATGCACAAATTTTGGAAATAAGACAGCATCAATGTGAATGTCTTTGGAACAGAAGGCATAAATCACATAAATCATCTAATGTTGAATGTACTTCATTCATAATACGACATAAGCAGTCATTTTACAGATGTACCAACTAGCCCCAAGCATAGGGTTACTTGTGCATGGATAGAAGAGAAGCAGGTAAAGTAATTCTAATGAGCAATTGTTTTAGATTATACTTTACATGTTGTTGTATGAATTATCTTCTGCAGATAAACTTTAAAAGGCCCAAATCATATAGTATCACCTGGCTGCTTGAAACCTCACAGTAGCATTTTAGATACCTGTGTACTCCTTAGCAGTACAGCCAGACCCCAGCCTTACTATCTCTTATTACTAGACTCATCTGTGTCTCTCTCCTCTCAGTCAGACCCTTACATCTGTCAGCCTCCCTCCTCCCACAGAGCCTCACATGGAGAAGTCTTCCTGCATAACTCTGTACGTGACTCCTACTCAATCTGGAAATAAAACTGTGCTTCTTTCAGAGAAATCTTTTGCTATCTCCTGACCAGGTAAAATTTGCATATTATACATTTACAGTGTATTTGGAACCTCTTCTTTATAGTTATCATCAAAGGTGTGTCTTTACTTTTGTTTGTTGGATGGCTTATTCTCTGTGTTCTCTCTTTTCTGCAAACATCAAAATAGTAAAATGCTACCTGAAACAAAATAGATGTTTAACATTTCTTTGTTGGATGACTGAATGCATGAAAATCTGACATAAAAATTACTTACAGTCCTTATAGACTTGCCAGGTCTATGAAGGCTTCTCAAAGCCCCAGCCCCAGGCTGCTCAATCTCCTGGGGCCTTTGTAAAAGAGAATCCCTCTAATAAGTCTTGGGGTTTACTAAGTGTTGCCCTGGGATTTTCACCTAGTGTCTTGAGTGCCTGGATGGATGGATACTTTATATGCCATGTCTCCCTACATCATGTTTTCTACATGTAAGTCTAACACATCATGGGCTCTTCTAAACATCTGTAGTTATGGAAAGTACTTCTTTACCATACTGTCTATTGTTTTGAAACTCATCCTTTACTTCACAGGGATCTGAAGTGCTATTTGTTTTCAAAATGGCACTAATTTTCTGTAGCCTAGGTGGTGCTTATTCAAGTGTATTTGCTGTATAATGTACTTCTAATTTGTAGTTCTCAAGAAATGTTATATTTCAATATAAAATATAAAAATATTTTAAAGTCCTTTATAGCAACTCAATAATTAGACACACACAGGCAGAGAGAGAGAGAGAGAGAAAGAGAGAGACAGAGACAAAGAACGATAATAAAGAGTGGTTTGAGAAATTACTGACTAGACATAATATGGAGATGTCAGAAAACAAGAAAAGACAAGATAAAGTTATATGCACTAGACAAAATTCATGTTAAATATTCATTTATTAAATTTAGAGAGAAAATCATTAGAGCACTATATATTGTGAACCTATAAATAAAAGAGAGAAGCCTAAGATATGAGTTCAGTGGGAATTTATAAATAGGCCCTCACACACTTCTTTTCCTTCCATTCATACTACCTATTAAAAAATAATATCTTGTTTTTTAAGATTTATGTTTCCTTTTTGCCCTTCTATACAAAACCAGTAGAACAGACTAAAGAGAGTGAGAACAACTAGAGAAGAGGAGAGGCTTTTGTTCCTACATCAATTCATCTGTGACAGAAACTCCCATGGTTAGGTAGAATATAGAGAGCATTAGTAAGGAAGACAGAAAGTCTCAAATTATTACATTACCAAAGCTAGACCCTCGTCACTAGGGAAGACAGGTAAAAGAACAGGGGAGAAAGTGATGAAAGAAACCATGATGCAGTCTGGTATGGTGGCATAGGTCAGCAACTCTCACACACTGTGACACTGAGGCATAAAGACTGCAAATGTCAGCTCAGTACAGACAACTGAGCCACTTACTGAGACCCTGTTTTAAGTAAAAAGTAAAAATAAAGGGCCAGGGATGTAGCTTTGTGTAAAAGCCCTGGATTCAGTTCCCAGTACAAAGAAGGAGGAGGAGGAGGGGGAGGGGGAGGAGGAGGAGGAGGAAGAAGTGAAGCGGGGAACACAGGAGAAAGGAAGGGAAGTGGGAAGGAGAAGCTACCACAATATCTAGATGCTAGAGAGCGCTTAGGAACGTTCAGTGAGGATTTACTAAATACCTGTGGAATGTGGAGGAGTGAAGTGGATAGAAAATGAAATATCTACAAGCACGTTATGCGTTACGAAGTGGATCGCCTGCATATATTATGACATACAAGTGCAAGGCTGGATGTTCTGGATGCCATTTGCTGCAAGATTAAACCTACAAGACTTCAAAAATTACTTAGCTGCACAAAGGTTTCATCCCTGAAAAATATGGAGTTGTAAGGTAACTAGTGACTTGATTTTGACCTATAAGATTCTGTACTAATAATATTTAATATAACTTATGAAATTTTTATAATTTTAAAATAATCAATATGGAAAGCATCACATGGTCACATTAATTGCAGAATAAGCAGTATTCATTTCTTCATACCCTGCAGGTACCACTTGGTGGTAAAGAGGAGCAGAAGTCTCCAGGTATGGGTGTTCCTGCCCGAAGGAAAATCTAGTAACTAGGGTGAATCCCAGGACGTTTGGATGGAGAGGTATAATATGATTTGCCAAGGCTCATTTTTTTTTTAGATATTCAAAGGCAGTGGAGCATTGTAAGTAACCTTCTGTAGTGTCCTAGGGTAAATCAGAGATTTTGTTAGAAGCACAGTATTCCACATGCTCATTCATTCATTTATTTATGCATTCACCCAAGCACAGCATCTCCCATGCACCAGGTCTTGTGGGACTGGTTTAAACAGTAATTGTCTCTATGCTTTTTTTTCTTACTTTGTGAATTTTAGAGTTTCTAGTTATAAACGTCCACTTAGAAGAGTTCACTCTGAAACCCTCCGGAGTTAGACATGTGATGGAAATAGAGATGCCAATGATGATGGGCAACTGACCTTGGAGAGTTCCTGGCATCTTCCGCACAAGGGAATCTGGGTCCCACATTCTTTATTTACTGCCAGGCTCACCTGAACCGTATCTACCCATTTCAAGGGAATTCTATCTTCTTTAGGCCAACGTTTTATGAGGCAAATTTATTAGATGAAAAAATGGAATCCGTAAAGTCCACTATGGGTTCAGGTCTCCTGAACAGCACCAGAGCTGTCATCAAATAGTGCTCCTGAGAAGATTTGGCTTTTACAATCTTACCAGCATCCAGAAAGATAAATTCAAGAGATTATGCTAACCAACCATGCTGCCAGGAGGGCTTGTGGTAGCCTAATCTTCAACTTAAACTAATCAGGGAATAAAAATAAGGCAGTCCTCAATCCAAAAATCTCCATCTACTAATTTGCACAGGGAAATTTGTTTGAAACATTCTAGAAGGTAAATTTACTAGCTTGGTCTACTTATTCATGTTCTTATAGATCTCTCTTCTAGAAAAAGAGTAAAAGAGCAAGCCAAAAGAGACTAGGATTGGAAAGCATAAATATGGATCAAAGAAATAGACTGGAAGTCACTGCATTACACTGAGAACTTTATTCTTGCCAAAGTTTGGGATTTGCGTTAACTGTAGCAGGATGCCTTGATAAAGAAGCAAAGTATGGAAGTAAATTGATGAGGTTCTACATAGCTAGGAATGAGAGGAACAGGGCTGGAGGCTGGTGATGTCTCAAAGGATGTAGCCTCGTGATGAATTCTGGAGCAAGTCTGCCCTTCTGTATTTAACAGCAGCAATCATCCTCATGGTCACAGCATGCAGGACCTCGGGATCTCATAGGGATAATTCCCAAACAGCAGCACCCCCCTGAGCCACAGCATCCTCCAGAACCACAGCACCCAGAACTGCAGCATCCAGAATTCTCACAGCAGCCAGACGATCCCGTGTTGCAGTCTTGGGGCCGCTGGATCCAACGTCTCAGGGGACTAACCCCGAAGGTCCGGGGGGCAAGACAGCAATAGCTGGTGGAACAGGGAGCAGAGCATGGATCAGGAACACAGCCCTGGGAGGCTGAATTGCTTGCAGAAGCTTGAGTGTAGTAGGTCTGACCAGAAGAAGGGTACTGGACATAATATGTCTGGGTCTGGCAGGGAGCTGGATATTTGACATAAGTTGTCTGGCATGGAGCTGGGTATTTCACATAAGTTGTCTGGCAGGGTACTGGGCACTTCACATACGTCATCTGGCATGGTGGTGGGCACTTCATATATGTCTTACAAGGAGCTGGGCATTTCACAAAGGTTTGGGTCTGGCAGGGAGCTGGGCCCTTCACATAGGTTTGAGTCTGGCATGGAACTTGGTATTTCACATAGGTTGGAGCTGGAGCTGGAGCTGGAGCTGGAGCTGGAGCTGGAGCTGGAGCTGGAGCTGGAGCTAGAGCTGGATAATTCGTGAAGGGTTGAGCCTGGCCAGAAACAGGGCCTGTCACACAAATAGTTTGAGCATGGCAGGGAGCAGGGCCCATCACACAGACAGTTTGGGTGTGCCTTGGAGTCTGGCTTTTCACAGAGGCACCACTGGCAGCTTGTGTAGCCCCCAGCCCTGAACCTCTCACACAGGAAGGAAAAAACTGTGGCTGTTTCTGCTGGTCACACATCTTGCTGTGGTTATGCAAAATCTGAAAAGAAAAGCTTCATAAGCACCACAAAAGCAGGCAGGTTTCCAGGGAGACCTGCAGAATGCTCTCAGATAAAAGGATCTCTCAGCAGTGGGGCCTTTTAGGAAGTTCATGGAGACTCAAGTTTTGTATGCTAACACTGGAGTGGACTCAGAGCCAGAGATTCTAGGTTCATCTCTTGTATGTTTACCTGGCTGTGTGACTTTAGACAGGGTCACTGCTCACTTGTCCGGCTCAGTTTCCACAAGAGAAAATGAAGAGTTTAAAAAGACAGTGTTTACATTTCAACCCAACTCTCCATGTTTCTTCCCTTCTTAACTCATTTCAGTGTCTGGATTATGAATTATCCCCATAAACTATTACTCTCTAGCTTATTTTTCCTGCCACTAAATCCAAGAAGCTCTCCTTCTTCATCCTGCACAATCATGCAGTAACCCAGGAAGGCAGGTTTCTGTTAACTGATCCTGAACTAATGAGTTGCAAAATGAGCTGGACAAGGAGCAAAGCCAAGGTCAAAGTTGAACAAATTTCTACCATTTCTTCCCGGATCAACTAGATACCGATTCTCCTCATTAGTAAATGAACCCAAGACTGTACAAATGCAGGCATAGAGGGAGAATGAGGAACCAGTGCTCTAAAATCCCTTCCTAGACAGACCAACCAGCTCAGTACCCTCCTCGCCCCTTCATCTTGTGTCCCAGGCACTGGGCTCTCTGCTGACTGACCATCCCTTCCTTCATGGGTGTCCTCAGTTATCCTTTATCTCAGTTACCCACATCAACCTTACACAGACTGTGTCTTGCCAAGTCCCTATCCCAAGTATGGGGACTTACCTTCTTTTCTAGTAGGAATAAAACTGCAAGAGGCAAAGATCCAAGACACTGGCAGTTGGAGAGACTTTTTATAGGGCAGCAATGAGGCAATTTAATGGCATCTAAATGAAGCATCAAACATCATGAGGAGGAGGACTGCTGTTGCATTGGCAAAATTCCTCCCCAGTAGACCTGGCTCTTCAGTCAGAGGCAGGGCATGTCTCTGCTTGACAATGAAGTTCCTAACTTGAGATAAGTGATTCCAGCTTGTGTCCTACATAAAAAGATGTGAAGTCCATCTTCTTTTCCAGACATTATGAATAATACCTGTGCATCTGTCCCTAGTCAAACTGTTTCAAGACACTTGGTTCTTCAAGGTCAGATTTGCCCCAGTGGTCTCTGGCTCAATGTGGCATCAAGGCTTCCAAGGAATAGATTGTTCCATGAACCAACATGTTATTCTAAGATTATTTGGGAAACTGGTTGGGTGCTTGTTAAGACACCCATCTCTATGTCTACACTGTTTCCTCAGATTTTTCATGTTCTCTGATCTCTACCACCTTCACCTTCATATCCCTCACTCCCGGGAATCAATTCCGCACAACCCAGGGTTGGAGGAATTCCAGAGAAATGAACACTGTGTGATAACAGTAATAGTATAGTCTAACATGAACTTGAATGTTTTCTGTGTACCAGGAAATTTATGAGGCAGATATATTTATAGGTTACAAGAGTGGCCCAGAAAGATTGAGACTTTTTTTCGTCAACCAAAACAAGTGAGGACAGCAGAATTTAAGCGTAGCCAATGTGCTTTTACAGAGCTGATCTTTATCTATATGTTGTCTTTCATGTCTGAATGTAGGGTCGACCTTGAATCTTTGTCATCTTCCCTTTCTCCAAAGCAGTCAATATAGAAGAAGTGGAAATAATATCTATTGAGCACTTGCTGTGTGGCAAGAATTTCTCTAGTCTTTTCCCCTACATTTAATCTCTGCAGTAATCTTATGAGGTAGGCTGTGTTCACCCCATTTTTTAAAAAACTGTTTACCTTTTGTTAGCCCATTTTTTTATTCATGCAGTTTGAAATCATTAGAGTAGTTACATGTAGCTTGTCTTTTTATTTTACTCATCATCCCCTTGTGTTCTCCTTTCCTCTCTCACTGGCTCTCCTGTCCTCTTTTTCACACTTTTCGATATTATGTGTCTTAGCTCATGTTGTGGCATATAATGTTTACATTAATTAAAATTATTATGTTCCTGTATGTGATGTATTTTTATTCCTATTTTCACTTCTCCTCCTCGTCACCCCTCACCTCTATTCTCTTGAACCACTTCCTTATTGCAAAAGATCCATCCCTCTGATCCTTTGTATACATCCTATCCTATGTTATTTTCTTTGTATTTGGCCTCACTCAAGTGAAAAATGCCATATGATATTTAAACTCATGTGACTCATTTTTTCACTCAATATTGTATCTTCCAGATACATCTATTTTCCTACAAGTGTCTCAAGTTTCTCATTCTTTGCAGTTGAATAGTATTCCGTTATATATAATAACACATTTTGTTTATTTAATCATCTATTAGTAGGTATACTGGTTGCTTCTAGGAATTTAGCTATTACAAACTGTGCTACTACAAACATTGACATGCAACTGTCATGGTGTTTGGTAGTATTATGACAAGCTCTTTGAGGAAGATATTTAACAATGGGGATATCCGGATAATACGGAATTTCTAATTTCAGTAGAAATCTCCTACTGATTTCCATAAAGATTGCACTAGTTTACATTCCCACTAATGATAAAGATGTGTTCTCTTTTCACCTCAGCCTCACCAGTAATTTGTTATTGTTTGGTTTCCTAATTATTGTCATTATTTCCAGAGTAAGATCAAATTTTAGGATTATTTTAATTTGCATTTCTGTAATGGTCAAAGATGTTGAATATTCTTTTCATGTATCTGTTGACCATTTGTATTTCTTCCTCTCTGAAGTGTCTGTTCAAGCTTCTTGTCTATTTCTTGACTGGTTCATTAATTTTAGGTGGTTTAGCTTGTTTTGAGTTCTTTATATATTCTAGATATTGGTCCTCTGTCTGAGGAGCAGCTGATTAAAATTTTTTCCCATTCTATTGGTTGTATCTTCACTCTACTGAAGAATTCTTTTCCTGTACAGAATCTTTTTAGTCTGATATAACCCCACATGTTGACTCTTGCTGTATATCTTGCCAATTGAAGTTATTTCCTGCACTGATTTCTTGAGTTTTACCTGTTTTATCTTCCAAAAGGTTTAATGATTCTCTTTGAATGTTTAGATATTTGATCCATTTTGATTTTAATGTAGTATATGGTGAGACATAAGGACTCTGTTTCATTCTTCTGTAAACAGATAAACAATTTCCCCAATACCATTTGTTGAATAGGCTATCTTTCTTCTGACATATGCTTTTGGCTCCTTTGTCAAAGATCAAATAATTGAATATGTCGGGAGGTTTCTGTGTCATCAATTCTGTTCCACTGTTTCTGTAACATACTGTTTTCATCACTGTTGCTTTGTAATATAGTTTTAAGTTAAGTATTTATATTGGCTCCAATTTTACAGAAGAAGAAACTGAGACCAAGAGACCTACCTATTTCATGATGTCACTCTTTCTGATAGGTAACAGAACATCATTTATTAACCCGTCCAGTTTCAGAACTTATACTATTCTCACTGAGCCTTGGTGGGGTATCCATTATAGGAGCTTTTATTGAGCCTAAGGTTAGTAATTGTTCTAAAGTCACACCCTGAAATCACTTAGTCAAGACCCCAACAGGCCTCTCTGGTCTCTTAGGTAAAAGAGGTCCCTAACTTATTTTCTAAAATAAATTTTGAATTTCTTAGGACCCATAAGCTTTCAAACATTCAATTTCCTAAGCAAAGAAAATGGAATGCCTCACTAGCTTGCACATCCTCCTCTATCCCAAGTCAGTCTTTTTATTCTTTTCTTTTTGAGACAGGGTCTTGCTATGCAGTTCAGGCTGGCCTTGGGCTTACTTTGTAGCTAAGGCTGATATCAAACATGCAATAATCCTCCTGCCTCAGTCTCCCAAGTGGTAGGAGTACAGGCCTGGAACCCAAGCCAAGTCTTAAGTTCTGCCGATGAACAATCTGGAGAAAACAAAGGTATGTTCTTCCCCAGTTTGGAAATAGTCTTGCTTCGTCCTGACACTTCCCTTCTCCACTTAATGGATTTCATGCACTCTACAGTTTGCTCTGTATTGTCTACAAGTCCTTCACCCAAATAGATGGATACTAAAGGAAAGATATTGGCCCAAGCCACACCACGCTTGCTATCCAAAGTGTCCTATCTCAGCTGTTACCTAGGTGTGGTGCATTATGGAGATAAGGGGAAAGGAACAATTTCCTATTACAGTCAGACACATCACATAGTTCATCAAAGTTAGTTTTTGAAATAATGTCCCAAATAAAATGAATAGCAAGCGAACAATCTTCTTGAGCTCACATAGTTAAAACAATAGAGCTAGAATTTGAACCAATGTATAAGAGATTGCAAATTTGGATTGTTTTACCACCACAATATATTGCTTCTGGCATTAAGATCTGTGATGCTTTAGACACAACAATTTTTGGTCATCCAACAGACAGTCATTAAAGATTACAGAGGACTGTTCTGTAAAGACACTATATATATCCATAACCTAGCTGTTTGTGCAGTCATTCAAACTGAGTTATAGTTTTCATGTGATAGTAACTCTGGACAGTTAACTGTATATCTTCACAGGACCTGGGAAACACTAACTAATGAATAAACGTGTGTGCAGATAAGGATCTGCAGCAACCTCTGTCTTTGTGTGGTGAGTATCATCAATCTTGCTGTTAGCCATCTTGTGCCATCTGTGAGTTCTGATTGGCTCACTTCCTGCCTTCTGGGTCAAGTTATCATTAATGATTTTGACAGCCAGCAGCAACAACTCTGGTTAGAGATACTGACTCCATGTGCCTCCCAAATGGGTGGGTGAGTTGTGACCTACCCATTTCATAGGCCAGGGAGCCAAGGCATGGAGAAATCAGGTGATTGGTGTCAGTGCTGAAATGAGTCATAGGGTTATCCCCAAAAGTTTCCAGAACCTCCCTCCCATTTATATCCTGAGACGCAAGGTCATAAAATCACAGACTTATGGCCTCATGCAATGACAGTCCTCTAGACTCACAGGATAATTGGTAGACAGACTCATCTCTGAGGTGGAGGGGACTAACACAGGTCGTAGAGGCTGTCCTCTACCTTTGTTGTTTAGTATAATGGGCTCTCCTTAGGAAAATTTACTGATCTTTAAGTATTTTCTTCAGTACCTCTGGTTGCCTTGTTTCAGAATTCACTATCTCAATAGTCAAGAACTATCTACTACATTGTAACTCAGGTCCTTTAACATCATCACTCATAGATCCTCCTATGCCTGTGGTAAATACTGAAACTAGAACAAGTGAACTTTCCTTTCTACTTTGATGCATCACATATGCAAAAGATTGTAACCTGTTACATTAAACTCTGGTCACAGATGCCACTGACTTCCACCCTTCTCCATCACAGAAAATTGTTCTAGAAGCTGCAGAGGTTGAAATCATGGCTTCTAAAATGTCATACCTGGGCTCTCTGCAAACGCAGAAAAAAGAAAATTATTTCGTTTCAGAGTTCTGATTGAACACAGCTATCTGACAAATTCTAAAACTGCAAATGGGATCTTGAAAGACATAACCTTGCCCTAGAGGCTCCCACATCTCTGACTGACTCCAACCACTTCTTTTCTTCTTCAGCCCTTCCAAGACATCTATAGAAAGTCTCTAAATTAGATCCTTCTGTGTTTCAAATAGCCAGAGTGTTCTGTCTTCATGGTCAGACTCTGATATTCTGAATATGTAGTATGGAGTCCACTCAGGGAGGTGAGACACACTTGACAACTGAAAATAAAAAAGTATGACACTTCATACTAAGTGCAAGAACAGGTGCAAGGATAGTACCAGCAGCGAGGCTTTTTGCAAAGGTCTTCTTGAAAAGCCCAAAAGTCATTCTGATGTCTGTCAGTTTGCAACAGTAGAAATTCCGATATCAACAGCACTGTCTAGCCAGAGGCTTTTTAGATGT